ACTGATGCCGCCCCACACCATGACACTCCCTCTCCCCCATCGATCTGTCTGTACAACGCAGTCATTGTGGTAACATTCTCCACGTCGACGCCATCCTCGCAGTCGACCGTCAGCATTCCGTAAATGAAAACGGGACTCATCAGAGAACAGCACACCATGCCACTGCCGCAATCTCCAATGACGATGCCTTTTGGCCCAACGCAGACATTCATTTTGATGTCGATCAGTGAGTATGGGTCCAACGTATGGACGTCGAGCACATAGCCCTGCTGAGGGGAGACGTCAACGTACGGTGTCAGCACTGATCAACCCCGTTGGCCTTGTACGGTTGCTGCAGTCCTGGTAGCTGGAAGTGTACGATCACGAAGATGCCGACGAACAATATGGCGATCCTGACATGGTGTAGTTACACAACGTTGACCTGGAAGTGGTCCATCTCTGGTGGTTCTTTTCTGCTGGTATCTGCTCAGTAGCCTGAGGACTGTTTAATGATGGCATTGGAACCATTGTGCAACGACTCTACTTGACGTACCAACTTGAAGCATGCCCAAGGCACGTTCACATTCCTCTGCTGTTAATCTTGGCATTTCTTGCGTCAGTACCCTTTACATTTTCAGCAACAAGTGATGTGGCTATTAAAAGTCTGTCTTTTATAGCCCTATTCTGCATGCTTCCCGTGAAACAAAACACGTTTTCCATGATGTGCATGCAATTTGTTGCGTTTTGGCGATTTCGCTCACAAAAAAATTAGGAATGTGTTTTGACGAGTTGTTCTTCTTCATGCTTCGTCCAGAACGTCGTATATTACTCATTCACTTATATATTTTCATATGACTTAAGCCCGGATAAAAATACATCCATTTTCATGGTGGTGCGTTTTCAATGCTGTTCAGTATATATCAGTTTGAATGTGCCTGATGCATGAGCATGAGTGCCAATTTATTGTTTGAATGCCAGACCAATATCTTTTCTGGTTTAAAGGATGACCCTGCCCCAAATTCTACAACAGAACAAAAAACACAAAATAAGATGCTGTAATGTTTCAGTGATGCATTCAATCCACCCTGAATGTTTCAAAGTGATGCGTTCAATCCACCCTGAATGTTTCAGAGTGATGCATTCAATCCACCCTGAATGTTTCAGTGCTGCATTCAATCCACCCTGAATGTTTCAGTGCTGCATTCAATCCACCCTGAAAGTTTCAGACTGATGCATTCTATCCACCCTGAATGTTTCAGAGTGATGCATTCAATCCACCCTGAATGTTTCAGTGCTGCATTCAATCCACCCTGAATGTTTCGGATTGATGCGTTCTATCCACCCTGAATGTTTCAGAGTGATGCATTCAATCCACCCTGAATGTTTCAAAATCACGCATTCAAGACTCCCAGAATGTTTCAGAGTGAAGCATTCAATCCACCCTGAATGTTTCAGTGCTGCATTCAATCCACCCTGAATGTTTTAGACTGATGCGTTCAAGCCACCCTGAATATTTCAGAGTGATGCATTCAATCCACCCTGAATGTTTCAAAATCATGCATTCAAGACTCCCAGAATGTTTCAGAGTGATGTGTTCAAGCCACCCTGAATGTTTCAGAGTGATGCGTTCTATCCACCCTGAATGTTTCAGATTGATGCGTTCAAGCCACCCTGAATGTTTCAGAGTGATACGTTCAAGCCACCCAGCAAGTTTCAGTGAAGCATTCAATCCACCCTGAATGTTTCAGAGTCATGCTGAATGCATTCAGACACTCTGAATGTTTCGAAATCCTTTTATGTGAAAACATCATTCATCCCTTTAAATAAACTTATTTTTTTATGCGACTTATGTGATTTGCGGATGCTACTGTAGGGCAGGACAGGCTTACCCTGTGTGAACACCTGGTGTCATCACTGATTTTCAGTGTTTCATTCCTATACTTTTCACCACTATTTTGCCTTTTACCTTTTTGCCTGAAGCAATTTTAAAGCTCAATTTGGTTGCTTTGAAAACCATTGAACACTACTAATACTGCTGTAATCTAGTTAATAAAGAGTAATTGTTAAAGTCGCAGCATTCTTCAACAGTCGGCTAACTGAACTGTTTAGATGTTTAGGTCATTATTCAGGAATAGTAATTTGTTTATTTCATTACATAATGATCTGGAACTTGTTGCATTTTAAAAATATTTTTAGATTTTTTTTATCATGGTTTCAACATGACAAAGAACTAACAGCAGTAAGAGACAATTAATAAATCAGATAGCTCGTGTGACTTCTACAACCCTTTAATCTTTGCATGTGCCCGTTAATTCAACATCTCATGCCTCGTACTGTTTGTGTTCACCATTGGCTTGAATGACTGCAAGACACTTCTTGCCCATGGAACTAAGAAGGCCACAGATGACACCTAGTGGAATGGCAGACCATTCTGGTAGGGTTGGGACGAGTCCAAATTTACTACCCGGGTACCCACCACACTATTACCCGACCCTACCCGGACACCTGCTATATGTCTCAAGACTTGGGTGTAAAAAGTCCAATTGGGAATAGTTTGACCGTAGCCCTGGTAAAATGTATTTAGATACACGTATGAACAATCTGGTCATGCATACACTGAAGTTGACTGAAGTTTTATCTTTATTAAAACCTATAAAGGTCAGAAGGAATGGGTGCATAGTCAGAAAGAAATGCGAACAATACTGACTTGTAGTGTAACCAAAGAGTTTTAGATATATTTTGTCAATAAACAATATATCACGTGTGTAACCACGGGTCAGGGTAGTCCTGTGGGTACCCGGGTCCTACTCAGTACCCACCCGACCCAAGTACCCAAGTTACCCGTCCTAGCCCTACATTCTGGAGAGCTTGGCATAATTACTGCCCATTGGGTTGAGATCAGGTGACCTTGACCTCCTTGGCAGTATGTCTGTGTTCTGAGCTGTGTGGGGGTGAGCATTGTCATGCTGAACAAAGGCGCCTGGTGGTTGCAGAGTCAGGACAACGTTGGACGTTGGATCTCATCACCATGATGCACACCTGTTAAGTTGCCCTGGATATGAACAAGATCTTTTCTGCGCCCATACGAAATGGCTTCCCACATCATGACACTCCACCAAGTTGCACTGGAGCCCGTCAACAGTGTTGCAGTGTACCTTGCACTGGAGCCCATCAACAGTGTTGGAGTGTACGTTGCACTGGAGCCCGTCAACAGTGTTGCAGTGTATGTTGCACTGGAGCCCATCAACAGTGTTGCAGTGTATATTGCACTGGAGCCCCTCCACAGTGTTGCAGTGTATGTTGCACTGGAGCCCCTCCACAGTGTTGCAGTGTATGTTGCACTGGAGCCCATCAACAGTGTTGCAGTGTATATTGCACTGGAGCCCCTCCACAGTGTTGCAGTGTATGTTGCACTGGAGCCCCTCCACAGTGTTGCAGTGTACGTTGCACTGGAGCCCCTCCACAGTGTTGCAGTGTACGTTGCACTGGAGCCCCTCCACAGTGTTGCAGTGTACATTGCACTGGAGCCCCTCCACAGCGTTGCAGTGTATGTTGCACTGGAGCCCCTCCACAGTGTTGCAATGTACGTTGCACTGGAGCCCATCAACAGTGTTGCAGTGTACGTTGCACTGGAGCCCATCAACAGTGTTGCAGTGTACGTTGCACTGGAGCCCATCAACAGTGTTGCAGTGTACGTTGCACTGGAGCCCCTCCACAGTGTTGCAGTGTATGTTGCACTGGAGCCCCTCAACAGTGTTGCAGTGTATGTTGCACTGGAGCCCCTCAACAGTGTTGCAGTGTATGTTGCACTGGAGCCTGTCAACAGTGTTGCAGTGTACATTGCAATGATTGTCCTATTTCAAAGGTCAAGGCCTGGGATGTAGTGAGTCTAGACTGCTGTGGTGATCTCCCCCAGTTTGGTCGATCTGTAGTGGTGCCATGTTGCCAGTATCGTGTCCAAAGTCGGGAAATTATGCTCTGGGCAATGAAATGCTTTGCCATTGATGTATGTGATCCACCAGCTTCAAGTCTACCAATACCATTATTTTTCTCAATGCTATTGAGCCTTGACATGATGATTTTCAAACTTCACTTCGTTAACTGAATGATTTTTAATAAACTTGCCCAAGAAATCTGTGACAAAATCCATCATGTGATCATGCAAACTGCCTTTCCCAAGAACAGAAATCATGAAAATGTCAAATGTCATTGATATAAACTCTATCAAAGACAGTAAGACCTAAGCTTTCATTTTCTTAGAGTCACTATATTGTTGAAATAATGTCGATGCGATGTTAAATGTTCACTCACTCCTTTTCTTGGAAAGTATACACATGAAATCAATTCATTGTTTCCTTATAATTACATGCATTGTTTAGAATACACAGTATGAAAGTAAATGTGAAACAGGAATTGTAATTTATTCTATAAATTGAAAATACGCAAAAAGTCAGATAATGGGTGCAATGACATAATTGTGTGTTCAAACATACCGGATATTTGTGTTATCACATACTGCATAGTGACCATGACTTTTTACTTGACAGACACCTGGTGTCATCACTGTAACTCTACCCTGATGAAGATAGATTTTAGAATGTAGGTTCTCAAATTGGTGTGGGGGGCACGGGTGGCCCAGTCGTCTAACGCGCCTCGATTCGCTGTGCAGAGTTGCGTCCCTTGGGCACGCCAGAAAACTATGATTGTGGGTTCGAATCCTGGTTCACCCCGATTATATTTCTAGGTTTGTCAGCATCATACCCGTGCTCGTGGGTTTCACCGAAGTGGTTAATGTGTTAGACCTCCATCACTTCGGGCTTTCCTCCCACATTAAGCCGACACGCTGTGATATAACTGGAATACTGTTAAAAGTGGTGTTAAACCCAACTCACTCACTCACTCACTCACTCAAATTGGTGTGAACTCTGTCCTTGTTTGGTTTTGTCCTTCTAACAGAGTATGACTGCACTACGACACTGACATTTTTAAATGTACACTACATTCAGTGTTTCTCTTTTCAGATGGTCCTTTGGAATTGTATTGTTCGAGATTGTGACACTAGGTGGCACTCCATACCCTGGTGTAGCCAATCGAGAGCTTATATCAGAGCTGAGTGCTGGATACCGCATGGAGCGACCTGATAACTGTTCTACTGAAATGTGAGTGTTTACATTTGTAATCAACGGTTGATCATGTTTAAAAAGATAGAAATTTCCGCAAGGATGAACTGTTGATGATGGAGAATAATGATCAACTTCTTGCAAGCTGGTATAGTTCTCAGTTTGGTTTCGCCTCAATTATGTGTCTAGGTTTGTCAACACCATACCTGTCCTCGTGGGTTTCAGCCAAAGTAGTAACCATCTTTAGACCTACATTGCTTCAGGCTTTCCTCCCACATCAAGCGGACATGCCGTGATATAGCTGGAATACTGTTCAAAGCGACGCTAAACTAAACTCACTCACTCACTTAATTTGGCATTTCCAGTCTTATTGGGTAATAGTTTGTATTTTGTCCTCGTTCACGTTCAGATCAATATATTCATTTGTAAAGGTTAAAAGGTTCTTCTTTGATTTTGGGTCTATTTTGGCTCATGTGTCATTGAGCTGACTAAAAAAGTGTCAGCCATTTTCTTTGTTTTGATGAGTGAAGGAAAGTGGCTGTTATTTAGACGGCTTTGTTGGTTGGGGAATTATGGAGAAGATCTTTTTAGATCAGTCAGAGAGTGTGTTGGTTTAAGTGTTGTTTTGTACAGTATTTAAGTTTTTTCCTTGTGTGTCAGTTTAATGTGGGAGGAAATCCTGAAGTGACACAGTTCACTACTTTGGTGAAACCCAAAAGCATGGTTCCCACAGACCATATAACTAGGTTTAATGACTTCCGTGCTTAAGATAGTGACGTAACCAGCACATGCAAAGACTTCTCCGTTAATGTTGGATGAACTCTGTTTCACTTTGTAATCTTTTAAACACACACATGGCCCACGTATCACTTTTAAAGCCTTGTAGAAGTCACAGAAAGATTCCCTTAAAAACCTTGGATGTGGTCCTTAATGTATTTTTAAGGTGAATATAAATATATAAAAATGATGATGATGATGATGATGGTGATGACATTTGATGATAATGATGACAAAGACATTAATGATGATGATGATGATGATGATGCTGATATTGATGGTGATGATGGTGATGACATTGATGATGATGATGATGATGATATTGATGGTGATGACATTGATGATGATGATGATGATGATGATGATGATGATGATGATATTGATGATGATGATGTTGATGGTGATGATGATGGTGATGGTGATGACATTGATGATGATGGTGATGATGATGACATTGATGATGATGATAATGATGATGATGATGATGACATTAATGATGATGAAATTGATGTTGATGATGGTGATGATGACGTTGATGATGATGATGATGGTGATGATGATGGTGATGATGATGATGATGGTGATTGTGATGACATTGATGATGATGATGATGATGATGATGATGATGATGTGAACAAAGGGGCTACATTTTACTGGGCAGATTTGACTCCCTTAGTCATGCCAGGATCATCATGACTATGATCCTTTGTATGTCAGTACATTTGTTTATTTCTAAGCATCTACGACATCTCTTTGCAACATCGATGTTGGCCTTCCTCTCTTATTAAACTGACATGCCTTGATGTAACAGAAATACTGTTCAAAGTTAAATCGCACTCACTCAAACACTGAAAGAATAATCCTTGGTATTTAGATTTGCGCTTTTCAAGTAACACAGATTTTTAGGTGCCACTCACTTGTGAACATTAGACATTACCTGAAATGAAAGCCATGAATTATAGTCAATCTTGCCCTGCTGTTTTGTAAATCCTTTCATTTGACCACCCTGCTATTATGATAATTTCTGTGACACTTAAATCAAAGCTTGGCATGGATCTGTGACTGTGAAGTTTTTGAAACGTCAAGCCGTAAACACAGTATGACTGTTTTTTTATGAAAAGGGAAATAAAAAGTGATGGTGGTTTTTTGAAACTAAACATTTTCATAAAGCATATATTTGTATGAATGTGTCAGGGCCACATCCCTCCAGGCTGGTTGAATGGATTCATTTCCTTTCATCAAACAATAGTTCGCTTCAACTCAATATGAATATCAACAAGCGGTGGAAACACCACACTGAGAATGTCGTCTACCATATTCAGTATAGTTACTGCCAGGCCATGTCGGCAGTAATTGCAGTAATGGGACAGGGCCCTGTTCCTCAAAGCGATCTTAGCACTGTGATTGTTGTACAGTTGTTAAAGTATGGGAGTTACGATCGTCTTAGCGCTAAGATCACATTTTGGAATAGGGACCAGGGGCCCGTTCCTCAAAGCGATCTTAGCACTGCAATGATCGTAAGCCTATGTTAAAGTATGGGACTTACGATCGTTTTAGCGCTAAGATCACTTTTTGGAATAGGGACCAGGGTGCCGTTTTACAAAACAACCTTAGCGCTAAGACTGTCGTAAGTCTATGTTAAGGTATGGGAGGGACAATCACCTTAGTGCTAAGATATCTTTGTACAACGGCACCCTGGACTCACTTGCATAAAGCGATCTTAGGGCTACAACTATTGTAAGCCTATGTTAAAGTATTGGAGTTACGATTGTCTTAGCGCTAAGATCACTTTTTGGAATAGGGACCAGGGGGCCGTTGTACAAAACAACCTTAGCGCTAAGACTGTCGTAAGTCTATGTTAAGGTATGGGAGTGACGATCACCTTAGTGCTAAGATATCTTTGTACAACGGCACCCTTGACCCACTTGCATAAAGCGATCTTAGCGCTACAACTATTGTAAGCCTATGTTAAAGTATGGGAGTTACGATCATCTTAGCGCTAAGATCACTTTTTGGAATAGGGACCTCGGGCCTGTTCCACAAAGCAATTGTAGCGCTAAGATGATTGTAACTCCCATACTTTATCATAGGCTTACGACAGTCGTAGCGCTATGACCGCTTTATGGAATGGGGCCCAGGACCCACTTGCATAAAGTGATCTTAGTGCTACATCTATTGTAAAGCCTATGTTAAAGTATTGGAGATACGATTGTCTTAGCGCTACAACTATTGTAAGCCTATGTTAAAGTATGGGAGTAACGATCGTCTTAGCTCTAAGAGCACTTTTTGGAATAGGGACCAGGACCCACTTGCATAAAGTGATCTTAGCGCTACAACTATTGTAAGCCTATGTTAAAGTATGGGAGTTACGATCATCTTAGCGCTAAGATCACTTTTTGGAATAGGGACCTGGTGTATTATTGCACGGGTGGGGAGGCACTGATGTTTTTAATCTTTGCGAATTATATTGCAATCGCCCCTTTGTATATCATGTTTGGGTACATCCCGATGTTTCATTTTGAGACTACATCCTCATCCCCCATTACTTCCCCTTCTGTATCTACAGTGTTATGGACACTCGTGTCAACTTTATACAGTTTTGCAGTTAGTAAGTAGTTTGTAGAGTGAAGGGCTTATGGTGTTGTCTGCAGATGGATAGCTAGATGTAAATAATTTTAATGAATAGAACTTTTAAAAAAAGAAAATACAACAAGTCCAACTTGTGTGTAACTAGAAGAAAATAACGTTCTTGTTTGGGCTAATACCGGTACAATAAGAATGTGGAACTATCATGTATTATGGATGCAATCTACTGTTTATGTTTGTTGTCATTCAAAAAACATTGCATGTGTTGTCAACTGATAGATATTTTATGCCTTAACCCAGACCCAAGGCTTGAAAATTAAACAGTCAGTTCTTTATGATGGTTGGAAAATTGTTATCAAATGTTCTACATGCTGGGCTACAGTAGTGAAATTTTAGGCTAAAGCAGTGAAATAATAGGCTAAAGTAGTGAAATTGTAGGCTTAAGTAGTGAAATAATAGGCTAAACAGTGAAATTATATAGGCTAAAGTATTGAAATAAAAGGCTAAAGCAGAGAAACTATGGGCTAAAGTAGTAAAATAATAGGCTAAAGTAGTGAAATAATAGGCTAAAGCAGTGAAATAATAGGCTAAAGCAGTGAAATAATAGGCTAAACAGTGAAATTATATAGGCTAAAGTATTGAAATAATAGGCTAAAGTATTGAAATAATAGGCTAAAGTATTGAAATAATAGGCTAAAACAGTGAAATAATGGGCTACAGTAGTGAAATAATAGGCTAAACAGTGAAATTATATAGGCTAAAGTATTGAAATAAAAGGCTAAAGCAGTGAAATTATAGGCTAAAGTAGTAAAATAATAGGCTAAAGTAGTGAAATAATAGGCTAAAGCAGTGAAATTAAAGCCTAAAGTAGGGGAATAATAGGCTAAAGCAGTGAAATTACAGGCTGAAGGAGATATTTTGTCCAAAACTTTTACAATTGTAGTTTGCATTTCAATATGCAAATAAATATACCTATTCAATATACAGGGAATTCGGATGACAACAAGGTTTCTTGTACTTGATGTGGTAGGAGACGAAAGTGTGGATCAGCAGGTCAAAATGGCAGTATGAGTTCAGATTGTGCTTAGAAAGGTATCCCTTCACAACACAATGGTATGCATCAGCATTCCATTAACTGAGCACTGTAGACTAACATATAGCCTATGTAATAAAGTAATGTGTAAAGTTTAATGAAACAATACTTATTATGAGTTTTCATTCAGTTATTCTGAAGCGGATTTAAGAATGGGATGCTAGAGCAGAGGGGATGAGAATAGGATGCTAGAGCAGAGGGGATGAGAATGGGATGCTAGGGCAGAGGGGATGAGAATGGGATGCTAGGGCAGAGGGGATGAGAATGGGATGCTAGGGCAGAGGGGATGAGAATGGGATGCTAGGGCAGAGGGGATGAGAATGGGATGCTAGGGCAGAGGGGATGAGAATGGGATGCTAGGGCAGAGGGGATGAGAATGGGATGCTAGAGCAGAGGGGATGAGAATGGGATGCTAGGGCAGAGGGGATGAGAGTGGGATGCTAGAGCAGGGGGGATGAGAATGGGATGCTCGAGCAGAGGGGATGAGAGTGGGATGCTAGAGCTAAGGGGATGAGAATGGGATGCTAGAGCAGAGGGGATGAAAATGGGATGCTAGAGCAGGGGGGATGAAAATGGGATGCTC